GGATCGCCTGCCCAAATGTTGATAGGACGCAGACTTCGTTCAATTAATTCCGATGACAAGTGCCCAGCTTCAACCAGGAACAATTATCCGACAAAAGTTCAGGCACAGCTTAGAAAAAAGCAACATGGTCCAGAAAGCCTATTTGATAAAGCGGTTCTAAATCTTTGTCAGCTCTGGAAGACAGGTTGACACTGTCAGAATTCAGCAGGAGATCGATGGCATCCAGCCACTGTAGTCGAGGAAAACAAAAAGTCCCCATCCCGCGATTCCGAATACCTGTGGGATTGAAAAAACTCCAGACGGTGGTACATATTGGCGCAACAGACGTCATCTAATGTCGACTAACGAGCCAGCACTCCATCATCATATCGAGGATGTGTCGCCGCCCACAGCAGTCCCGCCACCTGATATTCGTTCGCCGACAAACACGATGACGCCGACAAACACGATGACGCCGACCGTAACTGAATCTGTTCGAACCAGTGGTCGAGAAATCCGAAAACCAATCAGATTCAAAGACTATGTGACATGATGTGTATAGTGTGTGTTAAAACTGTTATTATTCATGAGCAGTTATAAAGCTGACAGATCAGGAATATGTACTTTAATTGCATGTAGATCTGTAACATTTTCAGTTTGGAGTTGTGTGTTAACAAGTAGTTACTAGCGTTTTCAAAATAACTGACAATTCTGTTGAAGTCAATTTTCAATGTTGGACCATACTGTATAAGTGATGAAAAGCAGTTCAGTGGAGTTATATCAAATACTGTAGTTTTCACTGATTACAATTTGTGGTGTGAAATACATGCACATAACCAGAGACTACAGAATAACCTTCAGTAAATGCTTTATTTCATATTTTAATTTACAAGCAGACATTGAGTATATTTGACATTTCAAGAGACCGAGTGTTTGAAATAATGTAATGTACATCATTTCTTTGATAAAAAGGAAAGTTAATTGTAATGATATCGATCTAGCTGTCGAGTAGTCAGCCTCGTTTTGATATCAACGTATGACGTAAAAGCAGATGTACTCGCTCTCTTGTGTAACCACCATCTTTAGAATAAACACGGAATCTTGCAGTGTTGCAAAAGTGTTATATTACATTTTACAATGGATAAAAAAAAAATTTCATGCTAATTCGAATAAGAGAATAAGTGGCGTTTTCTTATTTTTCATTTGAAATGTTGTGGGACACAGACCGGCAGATTTAGCTTTTGGGAGTGGTTGGAAGATGGCGCTGTGGCGTCACTTTCATGTTAAGCGCGGATTACTAAGAAATGTCCAATTGAAATCCGCGGTCAAATGAATCCGTTGTTGACAGATTCAACCCGCTATACCGGCTATGACCGGCCGTAACCGGCGAAGCGGTGTCATACAGATTATAGTGCACCGGACATTTTCGCACGTATGCTCGGCCGTCAGTAATTTCGATCCTTGTGGTCTGAGTGCGCATTCCGTACGTTATGGTTTTACTCTTGAGAATAAATGAATATACG